GGTCCCTGGGGTTATTTGGGGTCCCTGGGGGTTATTTGGGGTCCCTGGGGGTTGTTTAGGGGTCCCTCAGGGTGTTTTGGGGCGCCTCTCACCGATGACGGAGCTGGGGCTGCGGCCGGCCCTGCCGAAGGCGCACACGCCGGGCGCCTCGGCCGGGATGGTGAAGCTCGCCAGGGACCACTGGGACTCCACGTAGGGGCCGAGCACCGGGCCCACCTTGCCCACGCGCGCCAGCCTGGCACGGGGGGCACGGCGGGGTCAGGGGGCTCGGGGGGCTCGGGGACCCCCCCCGGCCCCGCGCGCGCCCCACTCACGCCGAGCGCCGGTTGAGGCGCGTGTCCCGCAGCGCGAAGACGTGCCCCGTGCCTTTGTCGCTGGCCGCGCACAGGAAGGAGCAGTCGGGGCTGAAGGCCAGGCTGGGGGACCCCAGAGCCCTGTCAGGGTCGGGGGGCACCCCAAAAATCCCCAGAACCCCGACAGGATCGGGAAGCACCCCAAAACCCCGTCAGGATCGGGGGGCACCCCAAAACCCCGTCAGGATTGGGGGGACACCCAAAATCCCCCTAAAACCCCACCAGGACTGGGGGGACACCCCAAAACCCCGTCAGGATCGGGGGGCACCCCAAAACCACATCAGGATCGGGGGGACACCCAAAACCCAGGCAGGGTCCCCCCGTGCCCAGCTCCACCTCCAACCCCTCCCAGTGGCACCAGCACAGCGGAGCTGGAGCAGCTCAGCTGGGCAGAGAGGGAACCCCAAAACCGGGCAGGGAGGGGCAGCACCCCAAAATCGGCTTGGGAGGGGTCCCCCAAATGCTCAGGTACCCCTCCAGTCCCTCCCAGTGCCCCCAGTACAGTGGGGCAGGGTCTGTGCCCTGCCTCAGCTCGAGCAGGGGGACACCTGAGGTTCCCAATCCCCCCCAGCCCCCCCAGTCCCCCCAGTAGACCCTGGCAGGGTCAGTCCCAGCCTCCCAGTGCTTCCAGTCCCACCAGTAGAGCATGGTGGGGTCGGTCCCAGGCCCCCCCAGCCCTCCAGTCTCCCCAGTAGAGCATGGTGGGGTCAGTCCCAGCCCCCCCAGGCCCCCCCAGCCCCCCCAGGCACCAGTAGAGCGTGGCGGGGTCGGTGCCCCGGCGCAGCTCCAGCAGGCGCGCGCGGCTCTGGGTGCAGCTCACCACCAGCTGCAGGCTGCCGCACTTGTGCCCCGGGAACACCAGCAGGGCGCGCTCCAAACTGGGACACAGATCCACGATCCCTGCGGGGAGCCCCATGTTGGGGTGTCCCTGCACCCCAAAACCCCCCCGGACACTGGGGACCCCAAAAATCCCCCTGGACACTGGGGACCTCAAAAATCCCCTTCAGGACATCGGGGACCCCAAAACCCCCCCCAGGACAGTGGGCTGTCCCTGCACCTCAAGAACCTCATGGACAGCAGGGACCCCAAAAACCTCCCAGGACATTGGGGACCCCAAAAATCCTGCTTGGGACATTGGGGACCCCAAAAACCCCCAGACATTGGGGTGTCCCTGCACCCCAAAAACCTCCAAACATCGGGGTCCCCAAAAATCCCCCCCCAGGACATTGGGGACCCCAAAACCCCCCCCAGCACATCAGGGTACCCCTAGTTCCCCAAAATACCCCCCAGATATTGGGGTCCTCCAGAGTTTCAGGCTCCCCCTCACTCACTGGGGTCCCTCCCTAAGCTTGGAGGAGTCCCTGAGGAAAAGTTTGGGGTTCTCCCTGGGTCCCCTCTTGGGATTTTGGGGTCCCTGCTTTGGGGTCCCCCCCAATAAAGAGAATGGGGGGAAGACTGTCCTGAACACCTGAGTCCCCCTAAACCCAAATTCCTCGAGGTTTTGGGGTCCCTCTGGGGTTTTGAGGCCATCCCCGAATTTTAGGGTGACCCCTGGTGTGGTTTTGGGGTCCCCCCAACCATCCCCAGGTAGAAAGAACAGGGGGGTCTGTCCCTGCCACCCCCAAACCCGTCCCTGCAGATTTTGGAGGGTCCCCCCCACTTTGGGATCCCCCAGTTTTCAGGCACCCCTAGCTCAGGCTTCCCCCAGTTTTGGGGTCCCCCCGTGGTCTTTGGGGTCCCCTCTGCAGTTTTTGGGGTGTCCCCTGTGGTTTTTGGGTCCCCATGATTTCTTGGGTGCCCCCACAGTTTTTGGGGTCACCCCCATTTTTAGGGTCCCCGCTCTTTCTTGAGTTCCCCCACGGTTTTGGGGTCCCTCTGTGGTTTTTGGGGCCACCCCACAGTTATTGATGTCCTGCCGCAGTTTTTGGGGTGCCCCCTGTGGTTTTTGGGTTCCCCCCTGTTTTTAGGGTGCCCCCGCAGTTTTTGGGGTCACCCCCGTGGTTTTTGGGGCCCCCCACCTTTGGGGTTGTCGCGGGTGTCGAACTCGAAGAGCTTGGTGGGCCGGTGGGGGAAGGAGAACACGTACAGGCGGCTCTGCAGGGCCACCACCAGCCTGGGACAGGGACACAGGGACACAGGGACACCAGTGCCACCAGTGCCACCTCGAGCCATCCCTGACAGCCCAGTTCAACCAGTGCCACCCAGTGCCCCCATTGCCACCCCAGTGGCACTGGTGCCACCCCAGTGCTCCCAGTGCCCCAAGTGCTCCCAGCACTCCCAGGGCTCTTCCCAGCATTGCGTCACAGGGGACAGACCGACAGGGGACAGACTGACAGGGGACAGAGTGACGGGGCAGGACAGAGCGACACGGGACAGAGTGACGGGGGACAGGACAGACTGACGGAGGCAGACTGACAGGGGACAGAGTGACAGAGGACAGACCGACAGGGGACAGAGTGACGGGGCGGGACAGAGCGACAGGGGACAGAGTGACGGGGGACAGACCGATGTGGGGACAGACTGACACGGGGGACACCCCGCCATTGGGCACAGGGACACCCCGGGGTCAGGGGGGACACCCCGATGTGGAGGACACCCCCACACTGGGGACAGGGGCCACCCCGACATCGGGGACACCCCGACCCTGGGGACAGGGAGGACACAGGGAGCGTTGGCACCGCCCCGGGGGCGTGGGGAAGGACCCTGCTTTGGGCACCCCCGGTTTGGGGGTCTCTCAGTGAACTCGAGCCCCCCCAGGTTTGGGTCCCGGCGAACTCGGGGTCCCCCCGCTTTGGGGGCGCACCTGAGGCGTCGGGGAACTTGGGCTGGCTGCCGCCCCCCACGATGGCCAGCAGGTTGGAGCGGTGCAGCATCTCCACGAGCCCCACGCTGCCCACCTGCTCGGCGTCTGGGACCCCCGCAGCGGGACCCCAACGTCAGGGACCCCAACGTCAGGGACCCCCATATCGGGATCCCACAGCGGGACCCCAACGTCAGGGACCCCACAGCGGGGACCCCCGCAGCGGGACCCCCACAGCGACCCCAACGTCAGGGACCCCCACAGTGGGGGGAGACCCCCCAAAGGCAAGGACACCCCCAAACCCCAGCGATCCCCCCCAAGGCGAGGGACACCCCAGCTCCAGGGACCCCAAATTTAGGGATCCCCCCCACAAGATCGAGCACCACCCTCAAACAGCAGAGAGCCCCCCAAAAGTGAGGCCCCCCCCCGCCAGGCCCGGGCACCCCAAAACTGCCCAAGCTGCCCCTCCCCAAGCACACCCCAAGAGCCTCTCCTCAGTTCTGGGGGGATTAAGGGGGGTTTTTGGGGGTTTCAAGGGGGCTTTGGGGGCATTTTGGGCGTCCCATTCCCATTCCACCGAGAGCCGAGGCTGCACCGCTCGTTCTGGAGCTTTTATTGCCCGGAGCCCCGAGCCCGCGGCCGTGTCCGGGGGTCTCGGGGGTCTCGGGGGTCTCAGTCGTCGTCGCCCCCCCCCAGGTAGTGGCAGATGCTGTCCAGGGGCAGCGGCAGCACCGCGGGCCCCGCCCGGCCCAGCTGCACCAGGGCCCGGCCCCGGCGCGCGTCCCGCTCCAGCACCCGGCCCAGCTGCGACACACCGACACACGGACACACCGACACACGGACACACGGACACACCGGCCGACACATGGACACACGGACACACCGACACATGGACACACGGACACACCGACACACGGACGGATACACCGACGGACAGACAGATGGACAGACAGACAGAGATGGACAGACGGGACAGACACACACACAGACACAGACAGA